GGAGGTGAGGGAGGGAGGTGAGGGAGGTGAGGGAGGCGAGGGAGGGAGGGAGGCGAGAGAGGGAGCAGAGAGAGCGGAGGAGGGAGGGGAGAGGGAGGGAGGGGAGGGAGGAGAAAGCAGAGAGAGCGGAGGGAGGGGGAGGGAGATAGAGGAGGGAGGAGGAGCAGAGAGAGTGGGTGGTGAGTGGGTGAGTGGGTGATGGGTCAGTGGGTGAGTGGGTGAGTGGGTGAGTGGGTCAGTGGGTGAGTGGTCATGATGAATGGGTGAGTGTGGGTGAGTGGGTTGAGTGAGTGAATGGGTGAGTGAGTGGGTGGGTGAGTGGTGAATGGGTGAGTGAATGGGTGAGTGGGTGAGGTGGTGGGTGGTGTGAGCGAGTGAGCGGGTGAGTGGGTGAGCGAGTGAGTGGGCGAGTGGGCAAGCGGGTCAGTGGGTGAGTGGGTCAGTGGGTGAGTGGGTCAGTGGGTGAGTGAGTGTGAGTGGGTGAGTGGGTGAGTGGATGAGTGGGAGTGAGCGAGTGAGTGGGTGAGTGAGTGGGTGGGAGTGGGTGAATGGGTGAGTGAATGGTGAGTGGGTGAGTGGTGGGTGGTGGGTGAGCGAGTGAGCGGGTGAGTGGGTGAGCGAGTGAGTGGGCGAGTGGGCAAGCGGGTCAGTGGGTGAGTGGGTCAGTGGGTGAGTGGGTCAGTGGGTGAGTGAGTGGGTGAGTGGGTGAGTGGGTGAGTGGATGAGTGGGCGAGTGAGCGAGTGAGTGGGTGAGTGAGTGGGTGAGCGAGTGAGTGGGCGAGTGGGTCAGTGGTGAGCGAGTGAGTGGGTGAGCGAGTGAGTGGGCGAGTGGGTCAGTGGGTGAGCGAGTGGGTGGGTGAGCGAGTGGGTGGGTGAGTGGGTGAGTGGGGGAGCGGGGGGTGGGTGAGTGGGTGGGTGAGTGGGTTGAGTGAGTGAGTAAGCGAGTGGGTGAGTGGGTGGGTGAGTGGGTTGAGTGAGTGGGTGAGTGGGTGAGTGGGTGAGTGGGTGGGTGAGTGGGTTGAGTGAGTGGTGGTGTGAGTGAGTGAGTGAGTAGGTGAGTTAGTGACTGAGTGGGTGAGTGAGTGGGTGGGCGAGTGAGTGGGTGAGTGAGTGGGTGAGCGAGTGAGTAAGCGAGTGGGTGGGTGAGTGGTGAGTGAGTGGGTGAGTGAGTGGGTGAGTGAATGGGTGAGTGAATGGGTGAGTGAGTGAGTAAGCGAGTGGGTGAGTGGGTGGGTGAGTGGGTTGAGTGATGGGTGTGAGTGGGTGAGTGGGTGAGTGGGTGGTGATGGGTTGAGTGAGTGGGTGAGTGAGTGATGGTAGTGAGTTAGTGACTGAGTGGGTGAGTGAGTGGGTGAGCGAGTGAGTGGGTGAGTGAGTGGGTGAGCGAGTGAGTGGGTGAGTGAGTGGGTGAGTGAATGGGTGAGTGAATGGGTGAGTGAGTGAGTAAGCGAGTGGGCGAGCGAGTGAGTGAGTGAGTGGGCGAGTGTGCGAGGGAGCGGGTGGGCCGTCACCAGACGTCGTTGCGACGGTCGTGCGTGCAGCCCCGGCTTGCGCTTGAGCAGCCGGGTACCAGAGGAGGAAGCGGTCGCAGCGACGACGAGCAGCACGCCCATCAGGGCGCCCGGCACGAGGCCGGCGTCACTGCTCGCTGCACGCGGCACACGCACACACGCACACATCACACACACACACACGCACACATCACACACACACACCGCACACACACACGCACACATCACACGCACACACACACGCACACACACACGCACACACACACGCACGCCACACGCACACACACACGCACGCACACACACGCGCACACACACACACACACGCACACACACACACGCACACACACACACACGCACACACACACGCATCAACACACACACACGCATCACACACACACACGCACACACACACACACGCATCACACCACACACGCACACACACACGCACACACACACACACGCACACACACACACACGCACACACACACACACGCCACACACACTCACACACACACACAGGCACACACACACGCACACGCACACACACACACACGCATCACACACACACCACGCACACACACACACACGCACACACACCACACGCACCACACGCACACACACACACACACGCACACACACACGCACCACCACAACACACACACGGCGCGCACACACACACACGTACACACACACACGCGCGTGTGGGCGTAGCGAGAGTCGGACTCACGTTGTCACGACGGACAGCAGGACGACGCACGACCTCCAGCCCACGCGGGTTGCCTCGCGTTGCACCGGTACAGCCCCGAGTGGCTAACACTCACGTCCCTGATGCGCAGCGTTCCTCCTGCGCTCAACAAGCGGAAATATCCCACCGCCCTCCTGTGGGTCTCTATGCGAGACTATGGGTCTCTGTGTGAGTCTGTGGGTCTCTATGCGAGACTATGGGTCTCTGTGTGAGTCTGTGGGTCTCTGTGTGAGACTATGGGTCTCTGTGTGAGACTATGGGTCTCTGTGTGAGTCTGTGGGTCTCTGTGTGAATCTGTGGGTCTCTGTGTGAGTCTATGGGTCTCTGTGTGAGACTCTGGGTCTCTGTGTGAGTCTGTGGGTCTCTGTGTGAGACTCTGGGTCTCTATTAGAGTCTATGGGTCTCTGTGTGAGTCTATGGGTCTCTGTGTGAGTCTGTGGGTCTCTATGTGAGTCTATGGGTCTCTATGGGTCTCTATGCGACACTACGGGTCTCTATGTGAGTCTATGGGTCTCTATGCGAGACCACGGGTCTCTGTGTGAGTATATGGGTCTCTGTGTGAGTCTATGGGTATCTGTGTGAGTCTATGGGTCTCTGTGTGAGTCTATGGGTATCTGTGTGAGTCTGTGGGTCTCTGTGTGAGTCTGTGGGTCTCTGTGTGAGTCTATGGGTCTCTGTGTGAGTCTGTGGGTCTCTATGCGAGACTATGGGTCTCTGTGTGAGTCTGTGGGTCTCTGTGTGAGACTATGGGTCTCTGTGTGAGACTATGGGTCTCTGTGTGAGTCTGTGGGTCTCTATGCGAGACTATGGGTCTCTGTGTGAGTCTGTGGGTCTCTGTGTGAGACTATGGGTCTCTGTGTGAGACTATGGGTCTCTGTGTGAGTCTGTGGGTCTCTATGCGAGACTATGGGTCTCTGTGTGAGTCTGTGGGTCTCTGTGTGAGGACTATGGGTCTCTGTGTGAGACTATGGGTCTCTGTGTGAGTCTGTGGGTCTCTGTGTGAAATCTGTGGGTCTCTGTGTGAGTCTATGGGTCGGCTGTGAGACTCTGGGTCTCTGTGTGAGTCTGGGGTCTCTGTGTGAGACTCTGGGTCTCTATTAGAGTCTATGGGTCTCTGTGTGAGTCTATGGGTCTCTGTGTGAGTCTGTGGGTCTCTATGTGAGTCTATGGGTCTCTATGCGAGACCACGGGTCTCTGTGTGAGTATATGGGTCTCTGTGTGAGTCTATGGGTATCTGTGTGAGTCTATGGGTCTCTGTGTGAGTCTATGGGTATCTGTGTGAGTCTGTGGGTCTCTGTGTGAGTCTGTGGGTCTCTGTGTGAGTCTATGGGTCTCTGTGTGAGTCTGTGGGTCTCTGTGTGAGTCTATGGGTCTCTGTGTGAGTCTATGGGTCTCTGTGGGAGTCTGTGGGTCTCTGTGTGAGACTATGGGTCTCTGTGTGAGTCTATGGGTCTCTGTGTGAGTCTATGGGTCTCTGTGCGAGTCTATGGGTCTCTGTGGGAGTCTGTGGGTCTCTGTGTGAGACTATGGGTCTCTGTGTGAGTATATGGGTCTCTGTGTGAGTCTATGGGTCTCTGTGCGAGTATATGGGTCTCTGTGTGAGTCTATGGGTCTCTATGTGAGTCTATGGGTCTCTGTGTGAGTCTGTGGGTCTCTGTGTGAGTCTGTGGGTCTCTGTGTGAGACTATGGGTCTCTGTGTGAGTCTATGGGTCTCTGTGTGAGTCTATGGGTCTCTGTGCGAGTATATGGGTCTCTGTGTGAGTCTATGGGTCTCTATGTGAGGTCTATGGGTTCTCTATGTGAGTCTATGGGTCTCTGTGTGAGTCTGTGGGTCTCTGTGTGAGTCTGTGGGTCTCTGTGTGAGTCTGTGGGTCTCTGTGTGAGACTCTGGGTCTCTATTAGAGTCTATGGTCTCTGTGTGAGTCTGTGGGTCTCTATGTGAGTCTATGGGTCTCTATGTGAGTCTATGGGTCTCTATGTGAGTCTATGGGTCTCTGTGTGAGTCTGTGGGTCTCTGTGTGAGTCTGTGGGTCTCTGTGTGAGACTATGGGTCTCTGTGCGAGTATATGGGTCTCTGTGTGAGTCTATGGGTCTCTGTGTGAGTCTATGGGTCTCTGTGCGAGTATATGGGTCTCTGTGTGAGTCTATGGGTCTCTGTGTGAGTCTGGGGTCTCTGTGTGAGTCTATGGGTCTCTATGTGAGTCTATGGGTCTCTATGTGAGTCTATGGGTCTCTGTGTGAGTCTGTGGGTCTCTATGTGAGTCTGTGGGTCTCTTTGGGTGTCTGTGCGAGTCTATGGGTCTCTGTGTGAGTCTATGGGTCTCTATGTGAGTCTATGGGTCTCTGTGTGAGACTATGGGTCTCTATGGGTCTCTGTGTGAGTATATGGGTCACTGTGTGAGTCTGTGGGTCTCTATGAGAGTCTATGGGTCTCTGTGTGAGTCTATGGGTCTCTGTGTGAGTCTGTGGGTCTCTATGTGAGTCTATGGGTCTCTATGTGAGTATATGGGTCTCTGTGTGAGTCTATGGGTCTCTATGGGAGTCTATGGGTCTCTGTGTGAGACTGTGGGTCTCTATGCGAGTCTATGGGTCTCTATGTGAGTCTATGGGTCTCTGTGTGAGACTATGGGTCTCTGTGTGAGTCTGTGGGTCTCTGTGTGAGTCTATGGGTCTCTATGTGAGTCTATGGGTCTCTATGAGAGTCTATGGGTGTCTGTGCGAGTCTATGGGTCTGTGTGAGTCT